TTTCGTACCTTCGGGAATTTGTAAACAAAATTTTTCAGAGTCCACTATGAAGCCTAGGTATTCAGCTTGATTTGATGGAATGAAACAGCTCTTTTGTTCATTTATGATGAATCCCAGTGAGGTTAAAAACGTTTTAGTTTCAATGGCCTGACTTTGGCACTCCTCAGTTGAAGAAGCTAACCATAGAATATCATCCAAGAAAATGGATGAAATGAAGCTCTTTGATCGAAGATGGCTCATGACCGGCTCGATCAGATTTGTGAAGGCATGAGAACTAGTGGAGAGACCGAAGGGAAGGTAGGTGAATTCAAATAGATTGCCTTTCACATAAAAACGAAGGAATTTCCTATGGTTCCTATGAATTGGAACCGAAAAATAGGCGTCTTTCAGGTCAATTTTGCACGTGAAGGCATTGCACGAGATGAGCTTCAACACTGTTCTCATCTCCTCTAGCTTAAAATGAGGAGCTTTTGTAAACTTATTCAACTTTTTGAGGTTTAGAATAAAGCATTTTTTTCCGTTTGGTTTATCAATAAGAAAGTAAGACGAGACAAACCGGTCATGGCAAGGGACACATTGTTCAATTGTTCCTAAAGATACCAATCTATTAATCTCAGACCTCAGGACAGCCCCTTCAAGTTCGGAGCTTATAGGTTCGAGAGGAATGTGTAATTGATAAGGAATAGCGGTGAAGGGAATTTTGTATCCCTTCATCACCTCCAGGACAAAAATATTCGAGGAAATTGATAACCACTCGGAAAAGTAATGCCTGAAAGAGCCTGCAGATCTTACTACTTCTTCTCCTGGATGTTGGACGACTCTGTCGACGTTGACGTCGATTGAGGGTTGCCCGGGCGTCTTGAGAATGGCCTCCGACTGGGGTTGGAGGTTGATCTGGCCGGAATCCGAGGTTTCTGGCCCGCCTGTTTTTTCCACGACACAGGCGGGCCCTTCACGTTTAAAGGCCCTTGTTTTTTCGGTGGAGGTGCAGTTACTTTGAGCTCTTGCCTCAATTTCGCCATGGTTTTAATCTGTTCAACCTTTTCAGAAAGCTTTGAACCACAGACCTGTTTATCTGGAGTTGTGGCCTCCAGAGCACTGCGCACTTGCTTATTTAAGCTGGGTGATATGAAAGCTAGCCTGGTCAAGGAAAAACCTCGATGAACTTGGGTCATCAGCTTTCCTGCGTCGTACAAATTCTGAATCAAGGCTCACTTATCAACATCACCTTCCGAGAGTAGACTCGAAATTGCAACTCCTAGTGCGACTAGGGCAGAACCTGGAAGGTTTTGAGATACACAAAACTTCTTGTCTCTTTGAACCAAAGCGTCTGTAGAGTTCGAAGAAGTCTCTGGATTGAATTTTGGAGCCTCAAAAAAACACGTGGTGGATGTACGAGGGTAACGATCCATTAATTTGGGTAATTCCTCCTTCTGGAGGTTTGAGGACAGCCAAAAGCCCCAACGTGACTCGAGATCCCCCTGAAGGGAGATTTCTGTGTCAGAGGGTTTTGAAGGGTCTGCGCCCAAAAACTCCAAAATGTCAGGATCAAGTGTCGTTGATGGTGAATCTTCCAAGACAACGGGATCAGGAGATATTACCTCGCCAGGTGGAGCTGTATTGATGTAAGCTTTAAGCCAAGTGAGTCTAGCACTGGTCTGTCGGGCACATGAGGAACTAAGCTACTGTTCTGGCTATCAGAAGTGATAATATCGTTTGTTAAAATGGGAATATTCCCGTCCTCATTCTCCTTGTCCCTCTGATTTCCTTCTGAAACCGAGAAGATAAAGGGAATGAGGCTAGGCTGCGTGAGTCGTTCCCGAACGATAAGCTCGGCGTATTAAAGCCTCGGACTCGAGTTGTTTAGTCATTAAGATCGAACCTACGAGTCCAAATGAGGCTGGGACATATACACAATCTTACCTTCCACGCCGTCCATACTTTTAGGTAAAAGGCGTTACGCCTTCTTGAAGAATTTTCGCATCTTACGAAGGAGCTTCTCCTTCTCGTCATTATCCCCGTGCTTCCTCTTGTTATGTTTACCCATAATAACTCAAAAAATTCGCGAAAAAACCAAGAAAAATATACTAATAACAAAAAACTCTAAGAAGCAGGCGACTCGCTTGCGCACACACAAAATAATGACAACATGGCGGCGCTTCCCGACCGAGGCGCCACAACGAAAGTGTTTCTATAGGCTCTATAAGCGTGTGGCTCCACCTTGCCGCAGGCCGGCTACTACAAGTATTCAAATCTCAAAGACGAGGCTCGAATATAATCAAATCACGTGTTCAAATTTTCGTTCAATTCCTAAGTCCAGTGGGGTTTATTCTCGGAAACTATTTCGATTTAGAGTTTTATTCCTTTTTAAAATCAATGCTAGCTGAAGTGACCTACTCGGTTTTGAACAGCTGAATCAAATTTAAAGATCACCTCATTTGCTTCACTTTTGACGTGAAACAAGTAATGATAATAACAATTATAATAAGTAATGGAAATTTTCATAGTACAAGACGATTATGATGAAATTCATGTCCCTTTTATGTCTTCCGATTATTTTTGGTTCTGTTGCTCTAACTGCAACTTTTGAATAAATTTTCAAAGTCGACGCCGATTTTGTCGAAAAATCGAATTGATTTCATTTTTATTGTCCTTCTTATGTCTTCCGACTGTTTGTTCGTACGTTGAAATATTCAATTCGAGTTTAGATGTTGAGATTTTTTGTGTTGAATTTGTTTGTGTTCAGTTTCTGTGTTGAATTCGTATAGGTCAACACTTACTTGTGTTATGTAGACCTGTAACCAAATTTAAGAGCCCAAAATGAAGTTCGCAACGAATATCTCTCTCTAAACCCTGTGACTTTGATGGAAAAGATCTTTTTTATTGAAGCAATTTTATTAGAACCAGAAGGTTAAATTTCCTACATTGGTCAAGCTACACGTATGCCCTGTACAACAGCGGGAGTAGAAACATAGCCGTGCACTGATGCTCCATACGTCAAACTAAACATAACATAACCTCAGTTTGTTCACCGAAAATTGGTGCCAATGTTTATCAAGGAAACTAATTGAGAAAGTGATGAATGTTGGAAAGTAATTTTGTTTTTAAGAGAGCAGAAACTGACAAAAATTTTGAAGCAGAAGCTCAATTAATCGTAGAAACTGACACCTTGTTAAAAGAATCTGTTGACAAATACATTCTTGAATACGAAACCTATAAAAAATGGAAAGAATCTGTTGTAACGACGCAGAATAGTTATTAAACCGTCCCCTACCCCCTAATTAACACATGTTTTTTTTCACTAGATTAAGTTAGGTTAAGTGTAGGTCACCATTGGACAGCCCACTTCCTAACAATTCTCTTCCCCCTCCCCCCTTTTCCGCGCACCATAGCACTTATCGGGGGAAGAGAAAGGCGTCCCACAGCGAGCCCCGCCCCCACAATTAGAAGGATGATACCCGATAACGAGTGCCCCGATTAACCCTGATTATCACCGATAATGTGGGAAGAAGACCAACGCGTGCCGAGTCGGGATTACTTGTCAATGAGCTGCCCTGGTAGATCGAGGAAGTAGAGAGAAGACAGAATTGCGAAGAAGTCAGAGAGGAGAGTGTGTTGAGAGGGAGAACTTGGGAGAATTGTGGAGAGAAAGAGACTTGTGTGGAGATTTTGTGTACAGGAGGAAGTGTGTGGAGGATTTTGTGTGCAGAGGAAGTGTGTGGAGGATTTTGTGTGCAGAGGAAGTGTGTGGAGGATATTGTCTGAGAGGAGAAACTGGTGTGAGAGAGAGAGACTTGTGTGAGAAGAGAGAGTGGAGGAGACAACAGAAGAATTATGTGAGGAAGGATTGTGTTGCGGAGAATTGTGTGGAGAACTCGTGGAAAATTTTGTGGAGGATTTCCGAAGAGGGTTTCGGAAGAGGAACAGGAAACAGGAACAGAAACGGAGAGGAGAGAACAGAGAAGAGAGAAGAAGAGGAATTCGGAGAACCCGAAGAACGCCATCACCCGTGAGTGCCCTCGAAATTTATTCCCTGGCCCAACGAATATTACCTTGCCACTAATGGTAATAATTTCCCCCGAGGGTGAGCCTCCATTAAATTCATCCCCAGATTGTGTCAATCTAGACCCCTATTAATTACTGCTTTTTCCAGTCGGCCCCCCTAACTTCTCCACCCTTTCTTCTTTGCAGCTTAGAATCTCCCCCTTCTTATTACATTGTGTCGCGTAGCCGCAAGTGAGTTGGCCTTACCCCCGATCCTCGAGTTAATTAGTTGTTAAAATGCCTCGATTATTTTTTGTGTTAATAGTTTTGTAACTGGAGTAGAATATATTGAGATTCAAGTTACTTGGATCCCCCGAATTATCATTCAACATCCCCCCCCCCCCTTTCTTAATGTTTCAGGTTCCCCCCGTAAAGTACAGGCAAGTCCCCCTGATTTTACGAGTTATGCTATACTCCTGAATATCGTGCCTTGGTTGGAAATTATCCAGGCTAATTCGCCGGCCAGGGTCACATTGTATATTTCGAAGGGTTAAAACAAAGGCTAAATCAGTTACTGACTTTTTCAGTGAACGTTCCGTACTTTTTCTTAACGGCTCACTGAAAAAGTGCGTAACTATTTCGTCATTGTTACTGAATATTAATTTGACTGGTAGATTACGACACAGGCACGTAATTTCTATTGAATCTTTCTCTCCATTTAAGCTTAATTATTTAGTTAATTAATTTTGATGCTTATTTTCCTTATTTTTTCTCTATTTATATTGATCATATCAATATATCTTCCAATTCAACACATGCAATCATTTCCTACTTTCGACGGGGTATAAATGAAAATAGTGTAGACTCTACGGGCAGATAGTTAAAATCTCTGAAAAGCGTGTCATGCCACGCAATGCAGGAAATTCAACTTTCTGCCCTTGCAGTATAATATGCTATTAACAATCATTTAAAAAGTCGACAAATGGCATTATTGATAACTCTGTTTCCAAACTTACAAGTTTATTCCGTCGAAACCTGCTCCAATGCCCACGTGATCCATACCAGCCACCTTTCTTATATGATTGATGTGACCTGTAGAAAGGACAGCGAAATGATTATTCATTGATCATGGTGAAGCCATTGTTTGCTATGTAGGCAAGTAAAGGTATCAAAATGCATTTTGGCAGACTTACCGATCACATCTTTTATCGTCGCTGTGCTATTGCAAGTTATGAAGTATGTATAAAATGGAATCATGACAACACCGCCGTTCTTAGCCTGTGAACAAATAGAGAAGAACTTTCTTTTCAAGTGTAGAGGCAATGAAGAATAGTATTTCGTCTCCTTAGCTAACTTAAACTTGAAACCATAAGATCAAAAGTAAACCTTAAGACCAAAATTCAAATGTACTATAAATAAGAAATATCACGCTAATAAAGATCATTAGCGGAGTTTCATGGGATTGTTTTTAGAAAAAATGCCACCTATCTGACTTCTAATCAGGCGCTCGCCCGGTTTCATCGGTAAAGGGGAGAGAAACCGGACACGAAGGAAGCTCATCTACACGGCGGAGTTTCGGTAGTGGAACTGATAATGCTGAACCAGCATCAGCTAGCGTAGGTTACGGTGGAGGAGACGGCACGGAGTGCCCGTGCAAAACTGCATGGTCAGCACATTTGTCCAGGATGAATAACCAACTCGACGGCTATCTCCCCAAAACATATGATCATTTCGCAATTACCCCAAGAAGCAGACAATTGGTCCAACGCCCTTTTGTTGAAGTATCCCAGATCGACTGCTGTAGAAAGGTGCTGTTACGTCTCTCCTCTATCCTGCGATCTCTTACGCTTACCGATCATTTCTGCCACTGAGGAAATCTCTGGTCTTCAGCAAGTAATTCAATGGGTAGTATCCTGACGATGACACATATGTTTTTGGGGAGTCCGAGGACGGGGACCAGAAAATAGATGAACTGTTCAAAATGAGGTGGTAGTGCATGTGGTAATGTTTCCGAGCCTTTTTTTCTCTTCAGTGACGAAGAATATACAGCGCTAGTGGTTTAGTGAACAATAGTGACAATTTTTGAGGAATGATATGATCTGGAACGTGAGGTTTTACTTATTGGCATTTCCGACACTCGCCCCAGCAATGCTTCCTATATTGGGCACGTCACGCTCTCACCAGAGAGTGCAGTTAGGATAGCTGATCGCAACTGATGCCGAGTTATCCGTCTCACCGCGCCTCAAGTGGCTGGGCTTGGGACTGCGACGAAAGATGAACAGTGCATGTGGGTGGGCGTGTCTCAGTACATGCGGAATTTCGACCGATCATCGGTCAATAGGACATCCAGATGGGAACTGGACTATTGGCGAGGCAAGAGTCTGAACTACTTATTTTCCTTTATGATTTATTCTTTATCTGATTATATTTTGTTTTGCATTGCATCGAGCTATGTTTCACCGCTCAGCTGGGTTACATCGTGGGATTCTGCAAGCGATTTATCGAGCTCTTCTCCGATGATTTTCTAGTTAAAAGTACGAGAGGAATGAAGGGAGAAATCGGAAATACGGCTGTAACCAAGAACTTTGGGGAAATCAGAGTGGTGGTGCCAGAGTCCTGAGCCGGAATTTATAAGCTCAAAATAATGATTAGATTTGCAAAGTTATTAATATATTGACACTATTTTATTAATGTTTATTAAAAATTTGATTGTGGGGAAATCACTGAGGGGAAGAGGGGGCTTGAGGAGTTTAATCACTGCTACAGGACCGTTTGAAGGACAAACGGTGAGCGATGGAAAATTTGTTGTAAAAGATTGTTAGATTGCGAGAGTCATTAGAACTTAAACAAATTTGCAATTTGTTAACTCGTATTATTTTGGCAGTGTAAACCATATACACATGGTGTATGGTTGCATACCATAGACATATGGCATTTTTCCTACCATGGATCTATAGCTTTTATCGACCATCTCCGCAAGTTAATCATGATTTATTGCAAGTTTTTTCAAGGATAAAAAGCATAAATTCATGGTAAACAATACTATATAGTTAACGGTCGTTATTCGTCCGGAGCATAATGTCATATGCATGGTGATTTCCACCATACCCGCAACCGATTACTGGGTGTATGGCAATTAGAATTATGGCTTTACGTTTCTTTTATTGGTACAAATAGCACATATGTGTTGTAACGTGGTATTTTACCAGTTACTGGTTCTCGACCATTTCGCGTGACTTCCACGAGACGGAAAGTCACCTTCAATGGCGAAATATAATGAGAGGAGAGGAGAATATGTTTTTGATTTTGTTTTGTTTTACTTTTGAATTTAAACTACGCGCCACCGCGTTCCAATCTGAGGACATCGCCGAGTATCCACAGAATGCCGAGAGATGTCATCGGACTCCTCAAACGTTGATGATAATTGGATTTTGGATTGGGTCGATAATGGAGCCACAATTCAGTCATTCTCACATTGAAAGTGACGCAGTTGCTGAGCACGAGGTTGATCGATGATTAATGAAAAATAGGATTAAACGAAATTATGGAGAGTTACTATTCTCTCAGGGTTGTCGAACGTAGAAATGGTGTTGGATTTTTTTTAGACAGCGCTGAGAATTTATTCTCATGAATGATAAACGAGAAAATTACTGCTAAGCATCGCTGAATTGGATGGCGCATATGTGTCAATAATTATTCACATTGATTCCGCATGTCTATTTATTTTGGATTGGCAAATGGTGACGTTATCATCACCAATCATCATTTTCGCCGCGTTCACAACCCGTTGCCTCGCGTTCACGTGTTTACGGCCGACACTTTCCGTTTGGTGGGCTTGGTAAGCGGACCTTGTGCTCATAATTTTTAGAAAAGGACGCTAATAAAATTTCGGGGGACGCCATTCGCAGCCGTTGAATATACTCAAGTTTTAGGAGGATTGAATTGGATTTATTGAGTGAGCGTGGTGGCCGTTTATTTTGTTTTTAATTATTTGATTGATTGTGAGCAGAGATTCTACTTTTTTTAGTGTTTCGTACACCCGAGTCCTGAAGGACTGTTCGTGAATTATTGTATTAGACGATCTCTGGCCACTTCTTATCAGTGAATTTGTCTCTCTTTCACTCTCAATTATCTGAGTGTTAAATGATTTTTTTTTTGATATTATTGAGTTATGTTAGATTGGTTAGTTTCGCGACTTTCTGTTAGATAAAGTTGTGTCGTGAAATTTATTAGAATCTCGCCAATGAATTGTATCAGATTTTATTTAATTTCAAGGTTTCGTGACTTCGTGAAAATTTGTCTCTGATTTGTATTTATGCTGTTTATTTTGAGGGTTACAGGTCACGTAGATTTATTGATTTTCGCGTTACTGTTTCGAGTCATTGAATTGATGTGACAATTTCTTGAAAATTACTTCTTATAAAACTTTGTGACTTTTCCGACTTTAGCAATTGAGTCTCGTAACACAGTTGTTTTAATTAATTTATCATTCCTTTTCTGAAATTCGCAATTTGAGTTTCGTGACTTAGTTGTTTAATATTTAATTATTCTGACTTACTTCACTACCTTATGATTATATTTTTGTGACATCCGTCGAAAATCATTAAATTAATTATTTCTGAAAGTTTAAGTGAATAATACTTTGGAGAAACAAGTCTTTAAAGATGAAATTTATTTTCACAGTGAATTCATTTATTTTATTTTCTTTCCTTTTACTCGAAGGCCAAGGGCCAGCTGCAGGCAATAAATTATGGGAAAACAAATTTTCAACTAAAATTTCGTCGAAAATACGATCGTAAAATTTAAGACATGGGCCAGGCTCTTGTCACACCGTAAGTGTTTCAAGTGCACGCCCCAGTCTTTCTCTCTCTTTGTTCATTGTTCACTGACGGTTCAGTGACGCGTCCGGGGGAGTAATGCATTTTCAAGATGCGGAGTTTTCCATCTTATCTGAAAGTGGGGTCTGTTGAGTTTCCCTTTTTCGACCCCAATAAACCGAAATTTGAGTTCTCTCTTGGAAATATTTATTTGAGTTTCTCCTCTCGGATCCCCCCATAAATTTCAAATAAGGATTTCTTTCTTGGAACATTTGACGAAGTTCTCCTTTTAAGACGGAAGTAATAAATCAGTTTGACAATTTTCGAGATTGTTTAAAAAATATTATTTTGCAATTATTGACTATAGCTTGGAATGTCGGAAATTTTCTGACAATCATTTTAATGTAAAAATTCCATCGCTGCGATAGTTTCAACGAATGGTTTCAATTGGCGCAGCTTGATGGAGTTATTTGGTGAGATAATTTCCTTCAACTCAATTGTTTTCATTTAAAGTAAAACTTCGGTTAATATATGATTCATATAACTTTTGAAATTCCAACCTGATTTGATTCCTTTTCGAATTAAAATTGTCTTTATTGATTAGATGGAATATTAACTAACATGAATAGTTTCTTGTCTATTTATGAGTGCAATTTAAATCTCAATCGAAATTAAAGAGAACGACGTAACGTGAGCTAGATGAATTAATTTCCTTATTTTAATTTTAAGAAGTCAATTATAGATTTAATATTAATCGGCGTAATTAATGCTAAATATATTTTACGGAAAATATAAGTTTCTTTTTTATAAATAATTTTGTTGTTAATGGTTTGTGGAGGGAGAATATGGGACCTCCTGAAGCAAATTCATTGGCAGTTGGAGGTTGGAAAAGTCCGCCCACACCCCAACATCTTGATGTGGAAGGGTCGGAGTTTACCCTGAAACATTAGGACCGGGAGTGTTAGGAGTGGAAATTCTGGGCCCAGGTCAAAGGCTATTGGTCCCCCGAATTTTCCCTCCTCGCATCTGAAAACACACCCTCAGGCTGAGGAAACAAAACCACTTGTGTGTCGTTTTGGTCCTCAGTCTCACCGTAGTCCAGCTAACTAGTTTTTAAAAACTAGATTTTCTGTTCAAGAAGTCTTTCGTGACTTATTTTATTAAAGTCTTTCGTGACTTATTTTATTAAAGTCTTTCGTGACTTATTTTATTAAAGTCTTTCGTGACTTATTTCCTTTTCTTTTGATCAGTTCCAGATTTCAAGTGAAGAAATTTTAGTGACATATTCTAATTTAATTTTTAATTAAAATCTTATATAGTAACGCGGCGTAAAATTTAAGCAAAGTTTATATACCATTTGGGATTAGCAGAGTTCATCATCTGTAAGTTTTTTTTTGTGTGTAACTAAGTTTGTTTCGTTTTGATTTTAAAATACAGACTCTTCGGAGTCAAGTTAAAATT